TGCCCTAATTAAATATACTTTACATCTGTTTTCTCTCCACAAGCCTAATATAAAGTTTCTGGCATTTGACATGTATTTGAATGATAACTTTGTGCATTATAAGGTATTGTGAGAAAACAAACTGAGCTAGATTCAAATCCTGTTGTCTGGGGAATAATTCCCATTGCTGTCAGTAGGCTGTGGTTTAGGTACCCGATTCTGTTAGTGCCCAGTCTCCCTTTGTAACTCTTAGTATATGTTGAAACTGTAATAATAACATGAATTTCAGAGTAACCTTCCTGTTATTGTAGGCATACTTAGAGTATTATCTGTATGCAAGGTTTTCTTACTCCTGTAAAGCTGTCAGATACCGTGTAGGTGCCTGTACACCACAGGGCACAGAACGTGATGCTCACCTAGTTGGAGCTTCATGTTATTACCATACCTCTAACTTCCCGTAGATGTCATGCGGCTTCAGGCTGTAGTGACCAGATGCTACAGGAACTGAAGCTGCAGTCCATACCATTACCTTGGTCATCAGCGTTCCTAGAGATTAAGGGGGAGGAAATAGCAGCTACATAAAGAATTCATGTTTGGGTGGTTTGTTTGTCTGTTTTTTCTTCTCCTCTGCAGGACAGGTGACAGAGTTCCCCTGCACTGTGTGGACAGGCATCCCAATCAGCAGCATATTGTGGCCACAGGGGGCCAGGATGGGATGCTGAGTATATGGGACATCAGGCAGGGTACTATGCCTGTGTCCCTGCTAAATGCTCATGAAGCAGAAAGTAAGTATCTGAAATGGAGGGGGGAGAAGAAGGTGGCATTTTAGAAAAGTTTCTAATTTCTGTAAAAAAATTAGGTGGTGTAGCTACGATAGAAAACAATCACATAGTTGCTTCTTAATATGTTTTCATTCAGTTGGCTTCAGTTTGTTCCTTCTCTGTATATAAGACTGTTCTTATCTAAAAGCCAACTCTCAACTAAAACTAAACTTAGTAAGCAGTTCTTTAATGAGTCGTCAGATGCATTTAATCAGAATGGCTGTGTTTCTAGAAGGGTAGGTATATAAATAGTCATAGAAATTGACGCTGTGGTATGCAGGTATAGTAAAGCAAGAACACAGTTATTAACAAACTTGAAAATGTGAGGAAGGAGGGAAAATCAAAGATGGTACAGATCCATTTGGTGCCTCCACAATGCTGAAACAGCTCACTTTTCCTGGTAACTTTATATGAACATGATAGCAGTTCATTTTGTGCTGAAAATTTCTTGACTTGATGCCACAGTTATATTTAAGGAGTAAAAATATTTCTTGAGATGTTAAGTTTTACTGACTTAAATATCTTTTCCACAGTTGTGGTATTTAGACACAAAATAATAATGTGTGTGCTGGGAAGGACTGCATGCTGTGTGCAGATTTAAACTTAATAGTAGGGAAGATGTAATGAGAAAGTATTCAGAATGCCTGAATTCAGATAAGATTTTAACCTTTAACAATTTTCACAGTCTGAAAATGCAACAAAATAGTCTCTCTCTTCTCTTTTTTTTTTTCCTTTTTTTTTTCCCCCTTTCTCTTCCAGGGGAGGGAAAATAGCAGTAAATAACTAAGGGGAGGGGCTTTGGGTCTCCTACTCATACACATTTAAGAATGGAAGGTTTGGTGAGGGCCTGAGTTCTTGTGAGTGCATGTCCATATCATACTATGCAAGGGGCACTGAGCAAAGTACTTGGTACTTGTTCTGAAATGGTTTTGTTTGGTTTTGTTTTGATACTTCCAGTGTGGGAAGTTCACTTCCATCCCTCCAACCCTGATCACTTATTTACGTGTTCTGAAGATGGATCTCTTTGGCACTGGGATACTTCCACAGACATATCTGAAAAACCATCTTTTCTTCATCAAGGTAAGGATGTTTGAAGTCAGTCTGCACCGAATTTGTCAGTTGGCAACATAATTGAAGTTGGATGTTCTCGGATGACCCAATTAATAATGCAATCCTAATACAGAAATGAAAAGGTGGTTTCTTTTCTTAGAAAGCAAGCACTGATAGGCACTTCAGGAAACCTACTTATAAGGCTAAGAGTTGTGTGAGGTTTTTGCGGTCTGTTTTGTTTTTAATCTACTGTACTCTGTCCAGCGTGTGAAGGGGCACATCTAGTATTTCAAAGATAGATCATGTTCACTTAAAAATCATCTGTATATAGAAAAGACTTAAAGGCAGCCTAAATGACACATAACTATCTGAGAGAGACATACAAAATGTAATACCAAAATAATTGTTATATGAATAGGATAGTGGAATTCTGAATTTACTATTCAAGGTCATAATTGGAACTTTCAATGAATGAAACTGGATCCCCTTTGTATTGTGGCAGGATTTTAATTAAAGATATGATACTGACTGAATATAAACATTTATCTTCACATTCTAGTCACAAAGACTACTTAATTGCTTGCCACTTCAAACTGTAAACAGCGGGGAAACTTTCAGATGTCATCTGCTGCCTTTGGCCTCAAAGTTGCCATTCAAAGCGCAATTCTATATAAGGAAACAATAGGATGACCGATTCAAGTTGCACTCTGCATGTTTTCGGGTATATTAGATATAAACCCTTTAGCACCACTTCAGCTACTTCTTCATTTTATGCTGAATGACAGCTCTCAAACTCTGAGACTTCAGTTTGAATGTAAAATGTTATGTGGAAAAAAGTCAAATCCAGGTATATCACTTGCTGCAGATTAAGTAAGGAGAAGGGATGGTAGGGAGTAAGTGTTATTAAAACAAAGCTGCTGCCCCAAATATAGCAAGACACTGTATAAACAGACTTTTGTTCTTAGGTCTGTCCCTGCTTTAGTCTCTGGCTAGAAAACTTGTAGATATTTACACTGTTTGTTCAGCGAGATTAGTCCGTAGCTGTTCTGACCTTTTTGTCTTAACTGAGGACAGAGCTGGTAGCAGGTTTCTGTAGTCACTTCAAGTACTGGATTATTTTTTTTAAGCTATTTTTCCCTTCATTTACCAAAGAGATAACATCTGTTAACTAATCTGAAAACTGACTTAAATGTAAAATGCTATTCCCATTATGTCTGTCCCATACCTACTATATTTCCCCAAATTCTGAGAATCTATAAACTAAATTGGAACTTATTTCCCTCTCTTCCCTTCTTACAGGAGGAAGAAGTACTACCTATTTTTCGCACAGTACCATTAACCAGTCTGTAGTAAGTGCCTGGCTAAGCAACGATCCTACCAAAGACCGCATGGAAATCACCAACTTAATTCCAAATCAGACTTTGTCTGTGAATAGTTTAGATATTTTAGGACCATGCCTAGTATATGGTACTGATGCAGAGGCTATTTATGTGAACAGACAACTTTTTGCATGAAGCGACTGCAGCATCACTTTGAAGTACTGATCACCTTGAACTACTGGGAAATGTCAGGTTCATTCTTAATCATACTCATTAGTCTGTTATCAGTGTGTGGGGAGAGGCCTAGAGGTTGGTCCTAATACTGCAGAAGAAATGTAAGGTACCTCAGATTCTGACAGCTGTCACTCACTATTGATGCTCCAGGATGGGTAGATAACATATAAGCTTCCTCTTATTTCTTCCCTGGTGCCTGTTTGGTTTTGGTAAGCAGGAAAGTAGTCACTAGGGCAAGATACTTGTTTTAAACTGATGTCCATAATACAGGTGCGCATAGAAAGTGAATAAAAGGTAAACCCCCAATATATTTTTTCCCTTCTTGTAAGGATATTTTTCAAGTATTAATTCTAAGGCCAAACTATGGGGTTGTTTGAAATTCTTTTTATGTCACCTGAGAGATGGGGGTTTTTTAAGCTGAGTTTTTTTTATATATTTAGGGGAACATAACTTTTTTATGTTAGCTCATGAGAATTGGGAAGGAAAACTGTTAAAGCTGTGGAATGTGAAAGGTTCTACGGGAATCGTAGCATTTTAGTGACATTATTTTGGGTTATTTACAGCTTCATCATGGATGCTGCATGTTAAAACTTGATAATGTGCCTGTAACTCTTGAGAGAAACATGTTTTTTATCATTAAGAGGTCATAATTGACAGATGTGTTGGCTGTGTTTTCAGGTGTGAGGATAAGACTTTCTAAACTGGAGACATAGTCTTTGTCACAATCAAAATTGCAACAGACTAGATGTGAAATCTTTGAAAAGCTACATTTTATGATTAGTGTTGTACCTACCTTTTGTTGCAGAGAACCCTTTCTCTTTTTAATAAAAAGTTTTGCACAATACTGGTCTGACTTACTAAATTAGTTCAAAGACATGTAGTCATCTTTGCAGGAAAAGGTAAATAACTAAGTTACTTGGACTCATCCTGGGGATACAAACTGAAGGATGGCGGCAAACCCCAGGGTTTGGGCAGCAGCAGATTAAGTTACAAAGTTTTTACGTGGCATTTTCCATCAAAACCGCTTTAGAGTGCACTTCCACGTCGGCAAGAACAGCCGCCTTCATCAGTTGTGATAAGGATGCCTTACCTGGTCGGAATCTCTCGTGTGTCTGGCGGGGCAGAGGGCTCTCTCCCTTCACACAGGAACGCAGGGAGCTGCCAAGAGGCTCGTCAGAGCGTCTTAAATTTTGGTTCCCGCTTTGTCTGCAATGCAACACTCCGCCTGAAAAGAAACGGTCGAGATGCATCTCCGAGTGATAGCGGACGGGTTTTACTTCCTGGCGGCTCGGCCCGTCACGACTCCTTCGCTCAGGCTCTGCAAAACCTTTTTTATCCCCCGTTAGAAAATCCGTATTTATCCATCGAGCTCGGTACTGCCACGGAAGG